GCTTGGCCACCGTTTGCGCCAGCTCACCGCGTTTCGACCACGACCGTTTTCGCTTGACGTAAGTTTTCGTTGTCGTAAGTGACCCACTTTTCATCACCAGTCACCATCCGCTGCAGAAATGAGTCGATTTTGTTGCGACTCATTAGCGATTCGCAGATGGAAATTAGGTCCATGAGGTTTTTTTGCGTTAACTCGTGTGGCACCTATACATCGAGCTTCTTTTTGTATCCAGCCTTATCCAAATGGTTCCAAACGGTTTTTTGTGCAATGTTTAGCTCCTGGGCAATCGAAACAGTGCTTACATGACGGTCGGACTCGACGATTTCCATTATTTTATCGACATTTTCGACAATTGGCCTTCCAGAGCGTGGTGCATCTTTGACATCAAAATTACCGGAACGGAATCGACGAAACCAAAATTGCGCGTGATTGGCTGTTACAGTATCAGGACCATAAACACTATTCACATTTTCAGCCGCCTGGCTTGCGTTTTCGCCTTTATCGAAGAAAAACTGTAAAATATGGCGTATTTTCTCTTTGCTGATGTCTATCTTTGACGCGCGCTTAAACAATACTGAGTCAAGCAATCACAAAACTGTCTGAGAAGTTTTTTTAGTACGAAATCTTATCTTTCTAACGCCATCTAGCGTAAACCGATCGCACTTATACAACGCGAGATACACATTACTAAAACCATCTATTAGAAAAATAATGGATTTCTTTTTACTACACCTTATATTTTTTGTATTCTATGTCAAAGTGCTGGAAATTTCAAGTGTTATTACTCAAAAAGTTCTTAACGAAAAAATATTTTATTATAGTATTTTGGAAAGCTTTCGAGATAAGCTATAAAAATATGTAATAATATATAGTGTTCCTTTTAAAAAATTAAAGATGACCTTCATATGACCTTCAAATGACTATTCAAAGTCAAACCAATTACACCTTTTTATAGATCCCTTCGAACCAAACAACTTTTATCTGAAACAGTTTTCTTTAAAATGGTTTGTTTTCAAGATATTCGATCGTTTCCAAACTTTTTCTAACACTCTGTATATATATATATATATATATATATACACAGGGTATCCCATTTTAATCAATCACTTCAAATATCTCTTGAACAGTGCATTTTAGAGCAAAATGTTTCAGATAAAAGTTTTGGAATTTTGAGGGGGACATAAGATATCATTAGTTTGGCCTTGAGTGGCACCGTCAAGGTCAGGACAAGGTCACTTTGAATTTTTTAAATAGAACCCCCCATTTTTTATTACATATTCTTATAGCATATCGAAAGCTTTCCAAAACACTATAATAAAATATTTTTTCATTAAATAACATACCACTTCATTATATGCTCTTTCGTGTTAAAAGGCTTCAAAGTTACAATATTAGCATTGGTACCCAAGATGTTCGACCGACGGT